TTTATATGGAATAAGAAAAACACTCAAATACGGAAAAGGATCTTACAACAGCATCGTCAACATGGAGGATTATCCCTCCCTAACTTTCAGTTTTACTATTGGGCTGCCAACATTAGATCTATGCTGTTTTGGAAAGATTCTCCATCTGATGACACTATCCTCCTCTTGTCTTCATACTTCTTTACACTCACTATTCTGCTCAAAACTTCCTCTTTTGGAATCTATATCTAAATTCACCTTAAATCCAATTGTGAAACACTCTTTTAGAATTCTGACACAGTTCAGACAAGGTTTTTCTCTCAGGGATCTGCCCACTTGTGCTCCTATAATAAAAAATCACCAGTTCATGCCATCAATTATAGACAGTGCTTTTCATGAATGGGCTAATAGAGGAGTTGCCACAAAAAAGAATCTATTCATTGATAATACTTTTGCATCCTTTGATGAATTCATGCTTAGATTTAACATCCCTAATTCTCATTTTTTTTAGATTTTTGCAGCTCTGTAGTTTTATATCAAGATAATTTATTCACTTCCCATCCCAGCCACCCAACTCCCTCTTAAATTCCATTCTGAAGCTTAATTCAGGTTCCAGAGGGACTATTGGGAAAATATAATCCTTACTAAATACATATAATTCGAAGCCTTTGACTTCATTAAAGATTCAATGGGAGGGCGAATTAAGGTTCAAACTTCCTGAGGAGATCTGGGAAAGAGCTTTAGATAGAATACATTCCTCTTAAATCTGCCTACACACACACACACAGTTATCCAGTTCAAGGTTATGCATCGCCTTCACTGGTCTAAAGTGAGACTAGCAAAGTTCACACCTAGCATCAATCCTATTTATGATCGGTACAGACAAATGCCAGCCACCCTCTCATATATGTTCTGGTTTTGTTCAAAACTAGACAATTTCTGGCAGTCAATATTTAAAACTTTCAGATGTTTTACAAGTACCTATAGAACCTTCTGCCATCACTGCCATATTTGAAATAACTCAACAAGACACTCACCTTAACCGCCAGGCAAAGAATATGATAGCTTTCGCATCTCTCATAGCTAGGCGATTAATACTCTTTAAGTAGAAGGAGAAACTTCCCCCAACCTTTAAGATGTGGATCAATGACCTTTTACACCATCTGGTATTAGAGAAGATTCGCTATTCGATGTCACTAATATTGGTGTTTTATATGACTGATCCTGTATTGTGTATACACTGTTAGCCCGGATTTCCTATCTAATCAA